AACAAGAGCGAAACTCAGTCTCAAAAGAAAAACAGAGGCCGGGCGCGGTGGCTCAAGCTTGTAATCCCAGCACTTTGGGAGGCCGAGGCGGGTGGATCACGAGGTCGAGAGATCGAGACCATCCTGGTCAACATGGTGAAACCCCGTCTCTACTAAAAATACAAAACATTAGCTGGGCATGGTGGCAGGTGCCTGTAATCCCAGCTACTCAGGAGGCTGAGGCAGGAGAATTGCCTGAACCCAGGAGGCGGAGGTTGCGGTGAGCCGAGATCGCGCCATTGCACTCCAGCCTGGGTAAAAAGAGCGAAACTCCGTCTCAAAAAAAAAAAAAAAAAAAGAAAAGAAAAACGGAAATACTCCGGGTGCGGTGGCTCAAGCCTGTAATCCCAGCACTTTGGGAGGCCGAGGCAGGTGGATCACGAGGTCAAGAGATCGAGACCATCCTGGTCAACATGGTGAAACCCCGTCTCTACTAAAAATACAAAAAAATTAGCTGGGCATGGTGGCGTGTGCTTGTAATCCCAGCTACTCAGGAGGCTGAGGCAGGAGAATTGCCTGAACCCAGGGGGCGGAGGTTGCGGTGAGCCGAGATCGCGCCATTGCACTCCAGCCTGGGTAACAAGAGCGAAACTCCGTCTCAAAAAAAAAAAAAAAAAAAATTAGCTGGGCATGGTGGCACGTGCCTGTAATCCCAGCTACTCAGGAGGCTGAGGCAGGAGAATTGCCTGAACCCAGGAGGCAGAGGTTGCGGTGAGCCGAGATCGCGCCATTGCACTCCAGCCTGGGTAACAAGAGCGAAACTCCATCTCAAAAAAACAAAAAACAAACAAACAAACAAAACCAGAAATACTCCAAAATGCTAATAATAGCTGTTTCTTGGTGTGGGATTATAGATAATCTTTCTAGTTACTTTTCTGTACTTTATAGTTTTCTATTTACATGTGTAAGAAAAGCAAAGGAAAACACTATCTTTAAAAACTGAATTAAGAGCCGGGCGCTGGTGGCTCAAGCCTGTAATCTCAGCACTTTCGGAGGCCTGTGGCGGGTGGATCACAAGGTCGAGAGATCGAGACCATCCTGGTCAACATGGTGAAACCCCGTCTCTACTAAAAATACAAAAAATTAGCTGGGCAAAGCCTGTAATCCCAGCACTTTGGGAGGCCGAGGCGGGTGGATCACGAGGTCAAGAGATCGAGACCATCCTGGTCAACATGGTGAAACCCCGTCTCTACTAAAAATACAAAAAATTAGCTGGGCATGGTGGCGCGTGCCTGTAATCCCAGCTACTCAGGAGGCTGAGGCAGGAGAATTGCCTGAACCCAGGAGGCGGAGATTGTGGTGAGCCGAGATGGCGCCATTGCACTCCAGCCTGGGTAACAAGAGCGAAACTCCATCTCAAAACAAACAAACAAACAAACAATTAGCTGGGCATGTTGGCACGTGCCTGTAATCCCAGCTACTCAGGAGGCTGAGGCAGGAGAATTGCTTGAACCCAGAAGGCGGAGGTTGTGGTGAGCCGAGATCACGTCCCACCATTGCACTCCAGCCTGGGTAACAAGAGCGAAACTCCGTCTCAAAAAAAAAAAAAAAAAACAAAAAACACAAGAAACCATGGAATAGTAAGCTATTAAATAATATCATCATTAAGAACTGTAACTCAGCTCTGTAATACCTTTACTTATCTCAGTTTCCTCTACTTTTGTAGGAAAGGATTTTGTGATAAAATAGTTTCTCAATGTTATTAGCCAGATTAATAGATATATGGATATAAAGACAAAATGAAATATGCTATTTTAATAAGTAAATAAGCATCAAAACTATATTTCATAAGATCAAAATTTTTTTTTTTTTTTTTTTTTTTGAGACGGAGTTTCACTTTTGTTATCCAGGCTGGAGAGCAATGGCGCGATCTCGGCTCACTGCAACCTCCGCCTCCTGGGTTCAGGCAATTCTCCTGTCTCAGCCTCTTGAGTAGCTGGAATTACAGGCACGCACCACCATGCCCAGCTAATTTTTTGTATTTTTAGTAGAGATGGGGTTTCACCGTGTTGACCAGGATGGTCTCAATCTCTTGACCTCGTGATCCACCTGCCTTGGCCTCCCAAAGTGCTGGGATTACAGGCTTGGGCCACTGTGCCTGGCCAAGATCAAATTATTAAGATTGCTGAATAGAATATTACAAGGCCAAGGCCAAGATAAGTTTTTCCAACAGATTTGCTTCCAAAGATGAAAAAATTGGTCTTCTATATTTGTTATGACTTGGTTCATTAACCTTTTTTTTTTTTTTTTTTTTTTTTTTTTTGAGACGGAGTTTTCGCTCTTGTTACCCAGGCTGGAGTGCAATGGCGCCGATCTCGGCTCACCGCAACCTCCGCCTCCTGGGTTCAGGCAATTCTCCTGCCTCAGCCTCCTGAGTAGCTGGGATTACAGGCACATGCCACCATGCCCAGCTAATGTTTTGTATTTTTTGTAGAGACAGGGTTTCACCATGTTGACCAGGATGGTCTCGATCTCTTGACCTCGTTATCCGCCCGCCTCAGCCTCCCAAAGTGCTGGGATCACAGGCTTGAGCCACCGCGCCCGGCTTCATTAGCCTTTTTAAACTCAGTTTGTTTTTTAAGCTATTCAGTACAAAAACTACTACTACTATATTTGTCAATTTAAATGTTTTAAAATTAATTTTAAAATACACTACTATCAAGTCAGTAACATGAATATGTTGCTTAAAGTTCTATTTATTGGCCAGGTGCAGTGGCTCAAGCCTGTAATCCCAGCACTTTGGGGAGCCAATGCAGGTGGATCATGAGGTCAGGAGTTCAAGACCAGCCAGGCCAACATGGTGAAACTAAAAATACAAAAAATTAGCCAGGCGTGATAGTGCATGCCTGTAATCCCAGCTACTCTGGAGGCTGAGGCAGGACAATCGTCTAAACCCAGAAGGCAGAGACTGTGGTGAGCAGAGATCATGCCATTGCACTCCAGCCTGGGTGACAGAGCAAGACTCCATCTCAAAAAATAAAAAGTTCTATTTATTGAAGAGTATTATAAATCACCACTTTTTGAGGAAAACTAATTCCAATCCATATTTCTAAATTAAATTTATGTCACTCTAAGATCTTCCATTGCCCAGATTCATTTTTATTCTTACCTTTTAATCCCTCTGACAAGCAGAGAAGCCCAGGGCTGATGTATAGACAGGCACCAGCCACCATCAAAGCCTTCCTGAAATTCTTGATCCTGGATTCGCAATTGGTGCTGAAATGAATTGAACTCTAGTCCCAATCCTGATGAACGGAAAGCTTTCTTCTGTGAGGCTGCACCTGTGTGGTCAACCCACTACACAGAAAAACAAACATACAGTTCTGTCTTTTAAGGGAAGAATCTGGGGTAGGTGGCCAAAATGACGCAAATGCTAATAATGAGGAAATCATACTGGGAACTTTTCATAGCAAAATATATACCAGTCTGGTCACAATGGTTCATGCCTGTAATCCCAGCACTTTGGGAGGCAAGGCGGGTGGATCACTTGAGGTTAGGAGTTAGAAGCCAGTCTGGCCAACATGGTGCCACTCCATCTCTACTAAAAATAGAAAAATTAGCTGGGTGGGGTGGTGGGTGCCTATAATCCCAGCTACCTGAGAGGCTGAGGCAGGAGAATCACTTGAACTCAGGAGGTGGAGTATGCAGTGAGCCGATATCACGCCACTGCACTCCAGCCTGGGCAAAAGAGCGAGACCCTGTCTCAAAACAACATCAACAAACAAAAAATACATCCCAACTTTGTCTGAAATAAGGCCAGAAGGGTAGAAACAGTATAAATTCAGTAGAAGTCCCAGGTATGATAACAAAATCCCATCTTAAAGAATAATTAGAATGTTGAAATCTCCATACAATGCTTCCTAATTCCAGCAACAGCACAACTATCAGACCAAAAGAGCTATAATTATTTCCACTTTACACGTAATGATCCATACTTGGTTCTGGATAATTTTTCAATAGAATTCTGTGAGCTAAATGAAGTTTTAACATTTTGTTCCACAATTCTGTATGTGCTTAGGGGCAGTGTCACATGCTGATACCATGACAACGCCAAACAGATGCTGTCAGAGGCAGCAGTTCTGACTACTGGATGCATGAAATAGTGTCTTACCCTGACATGAACAACTTGCTGCCTGAAAGAAGGGATGGAGGACTGCTAAAACAGGGTTCCCATCATGTAAAAAGAAGACAGAATTATAAGGTACAGGTAATTACAGGAGAGTGAAGAGTCTTTGCAACAGTTCAGACAGAGAATGACAAAGGTTAATGTTTCTTCCAGAGCAACAAGACCATATGCTCCAAAATTAAAGTTTAAAAATAAGGGCAATTAGCATGATGATGTTTGGGGTTGTCTTAATTTTTTAAAATGTAATATTGCCGGGAGCAGTGGCTCAAGCCTGTAATCCCAGCACTTTGGGAGGCCGAGGCGGGTGGATCACGAGGTCAAGAAATCGAGACCATCCTGGTCAACATAGTGAAACCCCGTCTCTACTAAAAATACAAAAAAAAAATTAGCTGGGCATGGTGGTGCGTGCCTGTAATCCCAGCTACTCAGGAGGCTGAGGCAGGAGAATTGCCTGAGCCCAGGAGGCGGAGGTTGTGGTGAGCCGAGATCGCACCATTGCACTCCAGCCTGGGTAACAAGAGCGAAACTCTGTCTCAAAAAAAAAAAAAAAAAAAAAAAAAGTAATATTTATAAAGCTAGACACAGTGATGCATGCCTGTAGCTTCACTAACTACTCAGGAGGTGAGGCAGGAGGATCACTTGAGCCCACAAGTTCAAGGCCAGCCTGGGCAAAATGGTAAGATCTTGTGTCTTTAAAAATAATAATAAGGGTTTTTCTTGGCTGCCACCAAGGTGCTCGGTCCTTCCAAGCTAAGGCCGTGTTGGGGTGAGGCCCTCACTTTATCCAGCGACTAGCAGCACATCCAGCAGCGCTAGCCCCATACTAGGACACACCATGGCCTCCTCTACTACCAAGCTCGCTTGTATCTACTTGGCCCTCATTCTGCATGACTATAAGGTGACCGTCCTCTTAAGGAAGATAAGATCAATGCCCTTATTAAAGCAGCCAGTATAAATGTTGAACCTTTTGGTCTGGCTTGTTTGCAAAGGCCTTTGTAGGGGTTGCAATCTGCAATGTGGGGGCTGCTGGACCTGCTCCAGCAGCTGGTGCTGCACCAGCGGAGGTCTTGCCCCCTCCACTGCTGCTGCTCCAGCTGAGGAAAAGAAAGTGGAAGCAAAGAAAGAAGAATCCGAGGAGTCTGATGATGACATGGGCTTTGGTCTTTTTGACTAAATCTCTTTTATAATGTGTCCAATAAAAAGCTGAACTTTAAAAATAATTATTATTTATAATTATTAAAATAATTATTTATAATAATAATAATAATAATAATGATAAGGGCCAGGCATGATGGACAATGTCTGTAATCCCAGCACTTGGGGAGGCCAAGGCAGGAGGATCGCCTGAGCCCAAGAGTTGACCAACCTGAGCAACGTGGCAAAATTCCTTCTCTACAAAAAATACACAAATTAGCAAGTTATGATGGCACGTGACTACTTTAGTCTGAGCCACTTGAGGTTGACGCTGCAGTGAGCTGTGACTAGCCTGGATGACAGAACAAGATCCTGTTTCAAAAATAAATTTTTAAAAAATGAAAATATAATAAATTATAGAGGCCGGGCGCGGTGGCTCAAGCCTGTAATCCCAGCACTTTGGGAGGCCGAGGCGGGTGGATCACAAGGTCGAGAGATCGAGACCAACCTGGTCAACATGGTGAAACCCCGTCTCTACTAAAAATACAAAAAATTAGCTGGGCATGGTGGTGCGTGCCTATAATCCCAGCTACTCAGGAGGCTGAGGCAGGAGAATTGTCTGAACCCAGGAGGCGGAGGTTGCGGTGAGCCGAGATCGTGCCATTGCACTCCAGCCTGGGTAACAAGAGCGAAACTCCGTCTCAAAAAAAAAAAATAAATAAATAAATAAATAAATTATAGAAAAAGCCTTTGAGTGGTAGTAAACTGTAGGCAATCATTTAACCCCTAAAGATTTCAGTTTTTCCAACTAGGAAAGGATGAAGTTGGACTAAATGAATTTCTAAGGATTTTTCTGCAATATAATTTTATGATTTTTGTCAATTGTGGCATATCTTAAAAATACACATTTTTACAAATTAAATAAACATTTATTGAGTATCTAACTGAAAAGCACATTAACCAGGGAGACATAAAATATGAAAAAGATATGGTTCTTGCTTGCAAGGAACTTACAATCCTAGTGGAAGACAGACATACATATAACTATTCAAAATGTAAGGCAGAATTGAGTACATACTAAATAGAAGACAGAAGTTCTTTTTTTTTTTTTTTTTTTTTTGAGATGGCGTTTTACTCTTGTTACCCAGGCTGGAGTGCAATGGCGCGATCTCGGCTCACTGCAACCTCTGCCTCCTAGGTTCAAGCAATTCTCCTGCCTCAGCCTCCCAAGTAGCTGGGACTACAGGCATGTGCCACCATGCCCGGCTAATTTTTGTATTTTTAGTAGAGACGGGGTTTCACCATGTTGACCAGGATGGTCTCGATCTCTTGACCTCGTGATCTACCCGCCTTGGCTCCCAAAGTGCTGGGATTATAGGCATGAGCCACCGCGCCCGGCGGAGACAGAAGTTCTTACAGTGGACCACAGAGAAAAAAGAATTGATCCATTTTAGGGGAAATAAATAATTTCTTGAAATAATTTTTTTTTTTTTGAGACACTGTCTTGCTCTGCTGCCCAGGCTGGTCTCGACCTCCTGGCTTCAAGTGATCCTCCTGCCTTGGCCTCCCAAAGTGCTAGGAATACAAGCGTAAGCCACCACACCTAGCTGGAAATAAATAATTTCATAAAATGTGCTGGGAATACAGGGGTAAGCCACCACATCTAGCTGGAAATAAATAATTTCATAAAATGTTGGTATGTAAACAGCCTTGAGGCCCAAATTTCTTTTCTATTTCTGCTATAGCTGTTGCCTCTAATTACACAGCCACTTTCCTAAATTAATTCTTCATTATCTTTCAATAATATTAAAGAATCTGTCAGCAGGTCTCTTCATCTACAGTTTTAGTCTTCTTTTTTTTTTGAGACGGAGTTTTGCTCTCGTTGCCCAGGCTGGAGTGCAATGGCGCAATCTCGGCTCACTATAACCTCCACCTCTTGGGTTCAAGCGATTCTCATGTCTCAGTCTCCCTAGTAGCTGTGATTACAAGCGTGCACCACCATTACTGACCAATTTTGGTTTGTTTTTTTTTTTTTTTTTTTTTTGAGACGGAGTTTCGCTCTTGTTACCCAGGCTGGAGTGCAATGGCACGATCTCGGCTCACCGCAACCTCCGCCTCCTGGGTTCAAGCAATTCCCCTGCCTCAGCCTCCTGAGTAGCTGGGATTACAGGCAAGTGCCACCATGCCCAGCTAATTTTTTGTATTTTTAGAGACGGGGTTTCACCATGTTGACCAGGATGGTCTAGATCTCTTGACCTCGTGATCCACCCGCCTCAGCCTCCCAAAGTGCTGGGATTACAGGCTTGAGCCACCGCGCCCGGCTCCAATTTTGTTTTGTTTTTTTTTTTTTTTTGAGACGGAGTTTCGCCCTTGTTACCCAGGCTGGAGTGCAATGGCGCGATCTCGGCTCACCGCAACCTCCGCCTCCTGGGTTCAGGCAATTCTCCTGCCTCAGCCTCCTGAGTAGCTGGGATTACAGGCACGTGCCACCATGCCCAGCTAATTTTTTGCACTTTTAGTAGAGACGAGGTTTCACCATGTTGACCAGGATGGTTTCGATCTCTGACTTCGTGATCCACCCGCCTCAATTTTGTTTTTGTTTTTGTTTTTTTTTTGAGATGGAGTTTCGTTCTTGTTACCCAGGCTGGAGTGCAATGGCACGATCTCGGCTCACTGCAACCTTCGCCTCCTGGGCTCAGGCAATTCTCCTGCCTCAGCCTCCTGAGTAGCTGGGATTACAGGCACGTGCCACCATGCCCAGCTAATTTTTGTATTTTTAGTAGAGACGGGGTTTCACCATGTTGACCAGGATGGTCTCGATCTCTCGACCTCGTGATCCACCCGCCTCGGCCTCCCAAAGTGCTGGGATTACAGGCTTGAGCCACCGCGCCCGGCAATTTTGTATTTTTAATAGAGATGGGGTTTCTCCATGTTGGTCAGGCTGGTCTTGAACTCCGGACCTCAGGTGATCCGCCTGCCTCGGCCTCCCAAAGTGATGGGATTACAGGCGTGAGCCACACACCTAGCCCAATTTTAGCCTTTTTTATGATGATAATTGGTTTTCTTTTTAGAGATGGGGTCTTACTGTGTCATCCAGGCTGGAGTGTGGTGGCTTGATCACAGCTGACTGCAGCCTCCAACTCCTGGGCTCAAGTGGTCCTCCCGCCTCAGCTTCCCAAGCAGCTGGGACTATAGATGTGTACCACTACACTTCAGGCCCAGCTCCCACTTTTGGTCTTTAAATAACTGTCTACAGCTCCACTAGTACTACAATACTAATTTGTACTTGCATCATCTTTCCATGGTGCTATTGTAAGGACTTCTTGGCAATTTCTCAGCTTCTAATCTTACCCTTCCCTCCACTCCATTCTCTATATAGCCATAGAAGTCATGCCAATCTTCTGTTAAAACGTTTCCAGAGGGCCGGGCGCGGTGGCTCAAGCCTGTAATCCCAGCACTTTGGGAGGCCGAGGCGGGTGGATCACGAGGTCAAGAGATTGAGACCATCCTGGTCAACATGGTGAAACCCCGTCTCTACTAAAAATACAAAAAATTAGCTGGGCATGGTGGCACGTGCCTGTAATCCCAGCTACTCAGGAGGCTGAGGCAGGAGAATTGCCTGAACCCAGGGGGCGGAGGTTGCGGTGAGCCGAGATCGTGCCATTGCACTCCAGCCTGGGTAACAAGAGCGAAACTCCGTCTCAAAACAAACAAACAAACAAACAAACAAACAAAAAAAACGTTTCCAGAACCCTTCTTTGCCTACTTTAGGACAAAACCTAAACTCATTAGCATAAGACAAAAAATCTTTCATGATCATGTGTTGCTTACTGTACTGGGTTGAGTCGTATCTCCCCATAATCAATGTCCACCTAGACAGTATCTGTGAATACAATCCTATTTGGAAATAGTCCTTACAGATGTAATCTGTTTAAGATGACATTATATTGGATCATAGTGGGCCCTAAAATGAAGGACTTGCATCCTTGTAAGAGGAGAGGGCACAGAGTGATAAAGAGACACACAGGGAAGAAGTCTATGTGAAGACAGAGGCAGAGATTAAAGTGATGAGCTACAAGGAAAGGGACACACAGAGCCACCAGAGCTTAAAGAGGTAAGGAAACATTCTCCTGTAAATCTTTTGGAGAGAATGTAGTCTTTCCAATACCTTGATTTGGGGCTTTTAGCCTCCAGCTGTGGGAGAATTAATTTCTGCCGTCATAGGTCACCTAGTTTGTGGTATTTTGTTACAGCAGCCCTAGGAAACTAATAGATTTACCAGTCCATAACAATAGTTAATTACTTGTGATTCCCCAAACCTGCAATGCTGCTGAGCCTTTGGACATGTTGTACCTTCTGCCTGGAATTCCCTCTTCACATTCGTGTGATTGAAAATTCCTATTATCTATATCCCATGTTTTTTTTTTTTTTTTTTTTTTTTTTGAGACAGAGTTTCGCTCTTGTTACCCAGGCTAGAGTGCAATGGCACGATCTCGGCTCACCGCAACCTCCGCCTCCTGGGTTCAGGCAATTCTCCTGCCTCAGCCTCCTGAGTAGCTGGGATTACAGGCACGTGCCACCATGCCCAGTTAATTTTTTGTATTTTTAGTAGAGACGGGGTTTCACTATGTTGACCGGGATGGTCTCAATCTCTTGACCTCGTGATCCACCTGCCTCGGCCTCCCAAAGTGCTGGGATTACAGGCTTGAGCCACCGCGCCTGGCCTATATCCCATGTTTTTATGTACACATGCCTTTGTTCCTAAAATTCATTCTGCCTGAAATTTTTTTCTCCACGATTCCCAAACATACATTTTTCTCAAATATTTACTTTTTACTTTTTTTTTTTTTTGACATAGAGTCTTGTTCTGTTGCTGGAGTGCAGTGGCATGACCAGAGCTCACTGCAATCTCTGCATTTGGGGTTCAGGTGATTCTCCCCTCTCAGCTTCTTAAGTAGCTAAGACTACGGGCACAATGCCACCATGCCCAGCTAATTTTTGTATTTTTAGTAGAGATGGGGTTTCGCCATGTTGCTCAGGCTAGTCTGTAACTCTTGGGCTCAAGCAAGATGCCCACCTCAGC